ATAATGCAAGAAGACAATCACAAAGAGTCATTTTGTCCAGCTAAAATCAGTTCATTGATGATTCAGTGATCATTAGTTTTAGTTTGACTCATGTCCCATTAGATGGGTGGGGTTTATGACCTCTACTGCAGCCAAACACCAGATGGAGATCAAAACATTTTGGCTTCACTTTTCAGGACGTGTGCGGCACACTTGATACAATCCATCCATTTAGTATGCAAAATCAGAATGTTCACTTAAAAATAGTGTTCCATACACTTAAAAATAAAGGTTCCAAAAGTGGGTGATTCCACAGAAGGATCATTTCAGGTTTCCCAAAGAACCTTCTTATTATTCTTAATATTTTTAACATTCTCAATTACCATTTTCCAGTATAAAGAACCTTTTGTGCATTAAAAATGGTTTTTCATGGAACCATAAATGCCAATTAAAGGCACAATATGTAAGATTTCTTTTATTAAAATATCCAAAAACCACTAGAACAGTGTTATATATTTTGCTGACTTGTGTACTTACATTATTCCCAATGTTTCAAAGAATGTTTAAATCCAGAGAAATAAGTCATTTTAACTAGTGACACGGAGCGTGTCTGTAGTGTCGTTGTATCGCCTGCCAATGACGTCATAACCCCTCGATTTCCAAAACATGGAAACCAAAGACGCTTTAATATGTTGTGTGTTTTATTAGACCGGTGGTGACCGCACAAAGTAGCATTATAACAGAACTTTCAAATGTATCTAGTATGATAAAACAGCGCTGCTTTACCCCACATACGCACGATCGGAAGGAGCGGAAGCGCTCGACTGTGGCATAATAAAAGCTCTGCTGCTTTCGAGCCGTGTGTCACGCTCGTTCAGCGCCTCGTTTCAGCCTCAACCTGCTTCATTCTACTACATTAATAAATCATTAGCTCATCCATGAACATGATTTCTGCCCGAGTCCCGTCGGATTGTATCGGCTGTGGGGATGAAGACCACAACTCCCATGATTCCACACCCAGTCACAGCATCATCAAACTACGCTTTTGCCTCTTTGTTTATTTTGAATATGCGCCCTTTAGTGGCAAACATTACATATTGTGCCTTTAAGTAATTTTATTTTTTAGTGTACAGTGAATGGGTGCCGTCAGAATGAGAGTCCAAACAGCTGATAAAAACATCACAATAATCCACAAGTAATTCACACCACTCCAGTCTATCAGTTAACATCTGGAGAAGACAAAGCTGTGCATTTGTAAGAAACAAATGTATTAATAATGCGTTTTAACGGCATTCTGACGGCACCCATTCACTGCAGAGGATCCATTGGTGAGCAAGTGATGCAATGCTACATTTCATTTATTTTTTAGTGTGTAGAGTAAAAGTATGAGAATCGGGATGCAGCAGAACTCTTCTAATAAGAGTTTTCATTCCAGATGCAAAGCTCTTGACTTATCTTGTTTGCTGTCAGCATCTTTCTTTATGGTTTATGCTCTAGATTCTCTCTTCTCTGCGGTCGAGAACTTCACGGTTGCGGCAGGAGATTTTCATCAGCGACTTGATCAGCTTGACACCTCTAAGTACGAATGACACTAGGTTTTCAAACTAGGTTTGAATCTGTTTTGTTGTAGGTTTGGAATTGTATCACGGTGTTGATCGAGTCTCAGAGCCTTTAGCTGATGACGTGTGCTCCTGTCACATCTCACTGCACATGATGCCTGTTACTTACACCTGTTATCTTATCTGTATCTGTCTGTCAGTGCTCTGGCCGTGCGGATGGTAAATGATCAGCTGATGTATTTAGAGAGAGCTTTTATTGATCCGCTGGGTTTGCCTGGGAGACCATTTTACAGGTAAACACAATCGGTCATTACATTGTGATGTTCAGAGACTCATTGACAACTTGTCAAGGTTTATTATAGTTAAGTAGAACTAAAACCATTCAAAAAATCATTACTAGATATAATATAAATGTTAACTGAAATAAAACTATAATTTTTTTAATTTCAGCTAGTTGCTATATTTTCATTTTCGTTAAACAATGATGTACTAAAATAACTCAAACTGAAATAAAAATGAATATAAACAACACAAATGCACAACAAAATTACCAAAACTTTAACTAAAATTAAAATTATTATCAATGCTGAAAACTGATACATTTAATTTTCAGGATTCTTTGATGACTAGAAAGTTCAAAAGCACAGCATTTATTTGAAATAGAAATCTCTTTGTAATATTATAAATGCCTTTCCTGGTATTTTTGATGCATCTTTGATGAATAAAGTATTAATTTCTTTATTTACTGACCCCAAACTTTTGAACGATACTGTACATCTATGGGACTTTATTCAGTAATTGTATCATTTGTCAGGCAAAAATAAGACAAATTGCTTGAAACAGCTGAGTTACACACTCATGCTTGAGATCAGTGGTTTGTTTAAATGAGAAACTGCGCTTGCATAAACCACACGTTTTGCAGTATTAGAGCTCAAAGGAACACTTCTTCTCTGTTAAATGCCATATTTACGTTAGCTGTACTTCCATTACGACAATAATAACCACTCGGCTGTTTGAGATCACTTTAAATACTAAATATGTGTGGTAAGATGTTTGTCTTTTTCTCTCTTGTCTGTTCCAGGCATATTATTTTTGCGCCCAGCAGTCATAATAAATACGCGGGTGAGTCTTTCCCAGGGATTTATGATGCTTTGTTTGACATTGAGAACGCGGTGGACCCGCAGAAGGCCTGGGACGAGGTCAAACGCCAAATCAGCATCGCCGCCTTCACTGTCAACGCCGCTGCCGAGACACTAAAGCCTTTCTAGACAGCCTTCCTTTACTTCTGGATTTCAAAACATGCCATGGATACAGGACTACAACAGTCAGAAAAATAGTTAGTTAATATGTCAGTGTTTCCTCAAACGCAGCAACTACAAAGGACTTGACATTCAGATCTGGCTCTCAGAAGCGAGTAGATACATTTTTGATATTCAAGGAATAGTTCACCCAAAAGTTACAATTTGCTGAAAGTGTCCTCACCCTCAGGTCATCCAAGATGTTGATGAGTTTGTTTCTTGTAGAAATGTAGCATTGCGTCACTTGCTCAGCAATGGATGCTCTGCAGTGAATGGGTGCCGTCAGAATGAGAGTCCGACATCATAAAACATCACAAGTAATCCACACCACTCCAGTCCATCAGTTCACATCCGGAGAAGACAAAAGATGCGTGTTTGTAAGAAACAAATTTATTAATAAGGCGTTTTAACTTCAAACTGTCGCTAACGGCATTCTGACGGCACCCATTCACTGCAAAGGATCCATTGCTGAGACACTGATGCAATGCTACATTTCTCCAAATCTGATGAAGAAACAAACTCATCCTAATCTTGGATGACCTGAGGGCGAATACAGTTTCAGCAAAGTCTAATTTTTGGGGTGAATTATTCCACTAAGCAGATGTCTTTCATCCAAAGAGATTTGCAGGCATGTCATTAATAATTTAGTACACAACTTAGGATTTAATTCAATGTTACAGTTAGCAATCCTGAACCATAAACAAATTTTACAGTGTTGTGTTTAATACAATTTCTTTGCCATGTCTGATCATTTGTGAAACAAGCAGAATTAATTACTGTTAATCATGAAAGCAACCGTTTGACCGGTCACTTGCATAAATTGTGGCATTGGAGCGAACTGTTTGCAAAACAATTTTTGCATATATTGTCATCATGGAAAAATTTGTAAAACCACGAACACTGAATAAAACTGGTTGAACGAAAATTTTTCATTCATTTTAAAGTTGTAAAACCATTCTCATGTAAAATGCATGCTTTTTAGCAAAGATTAAAAGTACAATTACCTGAAGTTAAATCAAATTATCGGACAGAAAGACAAATCTGAGAGTACAGTATAGTCGTTTCATGTTTACAGTAACATGAGACAGTGTTGTAAAAGATCAATTCATCAGATACAAATAAACACTGATGTTTCACGCTAGTTTTCAGTGATTTACTGCACTTTTTTCTAGTTGGATTTGAACCAAACCTGAGTTTGATTTATTTTCTCTTCTCTACATTCAGACGTAGGTTTTCACCCCACGACAGGACTGAAATTGTAAGAGAAAGTGCATGACAAGAAACTGAAATGATGAGATTTCAGAAGGCTGTGAATCATCAGACAAGCAGGTGGAATGGAAAAAGTCAACAAAAAAAGAATATCCGTTTGTCTAGATGCTGACAGCACTCGTGTACTAGAGGAATTCACCAAATTACAGACAGCAAGACAGAGAGTAAACTCTGAATAATGATGGTACTTTACATAAAGCACACAGAAATTATATCTAACTTAAACGTTTACATTCGAATTGCTTGACCAAATCGGTTTTATTGCCCTACTGACGGTTAATAACTCAGTGGAACCGTTTAAGAAACAGCCTTCAGTAGGAATTGATGCCGTATTGAATCTCTGACACCTTTGAAAACAAGGCTGTGAGAGACTGTCGTGGTTATTAATTGTTCACCCAATGAAAAATGCATTTCTGCAAATGTACAGTGGACAAAAATATGCAGAAAACGAAATTATTTTCGTTGAAACTAAATGATTAAAATAGCAATTACAAGTTAAGCCCTGTGATGTCATATAAAAATTAATCAAATGGCCTCAGCTTCAACACTTGAAAATAAAATTAGTTGGGTATCTATGCATCTGTTTGATATTTACTATATTTTTACCACTGATTATGTAATAATGTAGGATTGTTTAAATGCACTTCTATCCCTCACAGCATTTCATTGACGTCAAATTAAATAGTCTCATGCTCATCCGACATGAATCCACATGATATGATTTTGAATTAAATAAATAAAATAATCTCATTTCGTTTCCTAGACCTGCAGGTTTCGTTGACGTCCGCATCACTGATCACTGCTGTCTGTGAGAGTCAGAGTCAGAGTGCTTTAGCACAGTGAATCTCAACATTTTGGCGTACCGGACCCCAGTCCAGTTCAGAACCATCCTCGAGGACCCCCAGAACAACATTGACTCATCTATGTATCATTTGTGTTTTTGTGAGGACCAAATGCAGTCAAGTATAATTCAAGTTAGCTGACTTGTCCAGTATTTGGCCATATTATCAGCTATATTGGATTTTTCTTTCACGGGAGAATGTAATGCCAAAATATACAAAATTTATGCAAAAATTAATACTTTATACGGACCCCCTGGCCTTACGTCAAGGACCACTAGGGGTCTACGGACCCCTGGTTGAGAAACACTGCTTTAGCACTCACTTTCTCTCGTCGTGATTCTCTGTCTTCTCATTGGTCGGTTGAGGCTTTGGAGGCCATAGGCTCCGCCTTCTTCATGACTACCTCCACTTTGGGGACCATCATGTTAACAACACTCTTACTGATATCAGTTACCTATCAACCGACAAGATCATGAATCAATAAAATTGGCTAAATACATGTCAGAATCATTAACAATGTTTTGTCATGTGCCTCATGACATATCTAATAAAGCATATCTAATGTGCGCACAGGTGCTTTTCTCTTGTTTATGCTGGAGCGCCATCTAATGGCTGCAATTCACACAATAAATCATAGACCAGAAAGCATAAATCCTATATTTATTATCGTTCTTTATAACTGTTTGCCACATTTTTTAATACTATAGTCATATAATCAAATCAAATATAAAAAACTGTTCATACGAAACGTTAAACAAACGTATTATAAGTTAAATATATTTACTTTTTCTTCACTATCTACTTCAACTCATCCATTAAAAAACACATTTATGAATTAAAATGTCAGATTTACTAATAAATTCTTATATGGGAACAATTTATATGGTCTACCAGTGTTGTTTTTGTATCATTTATATACTATTATAGTTTTAATTACAATTTTAAATAAGCTTTTATTATCAGTTTTAATTAAAAAAAATTTTTTTTTTTTTGTGTATTTTTCTTGTAATTTGTATTATTTTTTATTTTAATTTCAGTTGTAGTTTACTAATTTTAGTGCTTCAACATTTATAATTTTCATTTATATATACACACACACACACACACACAATTTTTATGCACACACACAAATTTTAACCACAAAAGCAGTGTTAAGTCGCTGGGGTATATTTGTAGCAATAGCCAAAACTACATTGTATGGCTCAAAATTATCGATTTTTCTTTTATGCCAAAAATCATTAGGATATTAAGTAAAGATCATGTTCCATGAAGATATTTTGTAAATTTCCTACCGTAAATATATCAAAACTTAATTTTTGATTAGTAATATGCATTGCTAAGAACTTCATTTGGACAACTTTAAAGATGATTTTCTCAATATTCTGAGATATATTCTACAGATATTAAAATAGTTGTATCTCGGCCAAATATTGTCCTATCATAACAAACCACACATCAATGGAAAGCTTATTTATTCAGCTTTCATGTGATTTAGAAATCTCAATTTCAAAAAATTGACCCTTATGAAAGGTTTTGTGGTCCAGGGTCACATATCAGCATCCAAAAATTTAGGTATTTCACATCTGCATGAGATTAAATAAAAGTTATAGATAATTTATTTATTTAATTATCGTTTTACGCCATATCAGCATCAAAACCAATATTCACGGCAAACTCAAAGAGTACCAAGATCTAAACACTTAATTACATTTCTACAAATCTTAATAATAATAACTAAATAAATTGTATACTATAATAATATATATATTTTTTTTACATAATAAATATCTGGTTCTGCTATCTGGTTCGAATTTGATTGAACTTTTTTCAAAAGGAGCTGTTTGAGAATTAAAGAATAAAAAAGCAAAACACTGAATAACTGTTGTATGCTGAGCAACATGTTGCATTTAGATGTATTCGAGTATAAAATGTTCGACTAAACATGAAAGATGAGTGAAATCTGAGAATCTGCAATATGCACTTTATTTGCAATTATGCAAAGGAACAGCGTGAGATTACATATTGGTTTTATTACTGCTATACTGCAATATGGACACAATAATGGAAAGAATAAATATTTCTATATCCATGATATTCGAACACTCACCTTGAGAGCATCACGGAACACGGGGACTCCAGGATGGTACGTACATGCATCTGCAAAACATGATTTCACACTTAAAACTAATGAACACCACAACTATAAACAAAGATCACTGTAAATATTACGTGCATTCACTCAATCACTTATTTAACACATCTGTAAATACTTTATTATTAATAGTATTATTGTTAATATTAGTATTACTTATATATATATATATATATAAACTGATTAATATTTTTTAAATTATAATTATTATTTAATATATATTTATTACATTTTATAATTTTTTTCTTAAATGTATTCGCTGAATGAAGCAAAATAAAAAAAAAATTTATTGTATTTATTTTTATTAAATTTTAACAATTATTTTACATATATTTACTTATTTTTTTTATTATTTTATATACATTTTTAAACATATTCCTCTTGAATCCGAGTCAGCTTGATCAAATGAGGCAGCAAAATTTTCTGTAAAATTATTTTTATTTTTCAGCAAAGTACACTGTGCATGAAACATCTTGACATCAAATAAACATCACAAATAAAAAAAAGGATCTCTATTATAATGAATAACATTTGGGAAACACGTTATAATCTACATAGAAGTGTGGCATGCTATCCATCTTAATTCATATAAAAATATCAAATCTCGATTTGAAATGAATCCTTAATAGATCATTAGTTCATACAAATTCAACCATGGCATTCCTGGGATTTTATTATAACAAAGGCAAATTATAATGCAAAGGTATATGATATTTCCATAAACTAATAATCTATTATACATTATATAATGTTTGTTAATGACTTCCAAATGAAAGTCTCTGGCAGTGTTTTATAATGCAAGAGCCACTGAGAAGCACAGCACATAATTCATTGTCCCAGTTCATAATAATACACATGCATGCATGAACCCATAACCACTGCTACAACACAAGATAACATTTATATTTATGCATACATA